AGTCAGCTCCCCTTGGTTGTGCAGGCACAGAGCAGGGGAAAACCAGCTCAGAGCAAAGCTCAGGAGTTGGTACAAACTGATGCAGAGCTGTGGGTGTAAATGGAGGAACAGCACAGGGTTACCCATTCTTTCTTTTCCTTCGTGACACCTTGTGCCTTCCTGTGTCTCAGGTCAAAAATGCTGAATAAAAAATGGAAGCAAGGACACAGAATCTTCTGATTCTGAGAGCTGATTGCACCCTCTTTACCCTGCTCAGACCTGAGCTCACAAAGGATCTCAGTGTGTTTGATCCTCCAGGGATTAAGTGTTTAGCCAAGGCAGGGATTTCTGCACTTCTGAAGCCTTGCAGGCCAATGGGCACGTTCCTCACAGACCTGGAGTCCTCCTTTCCAAGCAGTTTCCTCCCAGTCAGCACTGCTGTATATTTTGGCCTTTCCCCCTCTGTTTCCCGTTGGCTTCCTCCTCTCCAGCAGCAGCAGCAGCAGCAGCAGCAGCAGCACGATCTGAGGAGCTCCTGGAGCTGCTGTGCTGGATCCCAGCTCTGCCAGCTCCTCTCAGCCTCCTCCTGCCCCTGCTGGTGTTTGTAACACGCTGTACTTCAGCCTCTGCCCCTTGTGATGAGGTTTGGATCCTCTCCAGGAGGTGATGCCCAAGAACAAGGGCTGGAGTGAGGACACTGTGCATCAGCTCCAAGGGCTCTGTGATTTCTGGCACAACAGCCTTGATTCTCAATTGTTTCCTTCGGAGAGATTTCGCTTGGAAGTGTGATCGAGGGTTTTAAAAAGGGAAGCAAAGAACACACCACGAGCCTGCCAAGTGGGGCACCAGCACCAAACCACCAGCCACCAGCTACTTGCTGAGGGTAAATAATCTCCCAGTGCTTGTGCACAGACACACACACTCACACAGACAGATTCATGGGGACCTTTTCACCAGGGGGCAAAAGCCTGTGTGACTATTTAAGCCTCATCCTGGTAGAATCATAGAATTATGGAGTATCCTGAGTTGGAAGGGACTCACAGGGATCATCAAGGCCAGCTCCTGGCCCTGCACAGGAGAAACTCTTCTTGAACTCTGGCAGACACTGAATAGTCTCTGTAAAAAGGACTAACTCTTATCACACTTGCTCTTCAGTGCCTGGTGCATGGACAGGCTCACTCCTGTGCCTGCAATCCTAAATATTAACTTGCACCAGAGCAGAAGCCACAGGGGCTGCCTGAAATCCCTCTGCCTGGTTTGGATCACTGCAGTCCCCAGGTCTGAACCAGAGGGGTAAATGTACAGACCTGAGCAATTTACACTGTTAGAACAGTGGGAACAGTGAGACAGCAGCAGCTCCCAGCTGTTCCTTACAACACAGATGGCACAGAGGGCTTTTTCCACTCCCAAATATCTTGCTATTGAGGATGGAGCAGCTCCCAGTTAAGACACCTCCATGTCTCTGTCTGTGTATGTGACAACCACTGTGGATTCCTTCAACTCAGCTGAGGTGTCTGTGCTTGGGCACAAGGTTAGTGCTGGATCTGGCAGTTCAGGATCTATGGGGTCTGTTCCAACCTGGACTATCCTGTGACTCTGTGGTGTCCCCTGAGAAGCCCTGGGGTGCTCAATCTCCTCCTGCTCCTTGCACTGCTCCTGACATCTGGAGAATCCCAGAATACTTTGGGTTGGAGGGGACCTTAAAGCTCATCCAGTGCCACCCCCTGCCACGGGCAGGGACACCTTCCACCAGCCCAGGTTGCTTCAACCTGGCCTTGGACACTTTGAGGGATCCAGGGGCAGCCACAGCTTCTCTGGGCAACCTGTGCCAGGGCCTGCCCACCCTCCCAGGGAACAATTTCTCCCCAATATCCCATCCAACCCTGCCCTGCTAAGGAGCAGGAGGCTCAACTGCTTGTCCATATGTCCAGTCACCTGTGGCAAAGCTGCACTTCAGTTCCTGTTCCCTGGCTGCCCCAGTGGAGGGAGCTGGGCTGTCCCACTCCCAGCAGCAGGAACCGCAGCCACCCCTGCTCTGTCAGACTTTCCATTCCCAGCTTCTGTCTGATCATTATTTGAAGCTCAGTACAGACATTTGCCTCGATAATACATCACAGAAATGAGTTCCACTGGTTAATTATACATTGCACAAAAGCAGGGATGTAAATTCTCCCCCCAGGGCAGGATCTCACATCCATGCCTTGCTCTCCCTTCGATTGCTGGAGCCTGTGTGCCAGCCTCATTTCACCACGTGGATTAGAACAGCACAGTGTGACAGAGGAGAGGGATGTCAGAACCCCCCCAGGTCATACCCATGTACAGACACAGCCCCTCACAAGCACAGAGCTGCTCCAAGCCATCCATCACATCTCGGCTGTCGTTTGTCCTCGCGAAGGGCTCGTCACCATCAGCATCTCCTCACGGCTCCTGAGCAGTGGCAGAGAGCTCTGCTCAGTCTCCTTGCAGGCATCATTTATTCCCAGGTGATTTTAGGACAGGGAGAAGCCACTCAGAGCAGCCTTGGCTCTCCAAGGGCAGAATGAAAGGGATTTTGGGGGGTTAAGGTGGCTCAGTGACACTGCCAAGCACAGAACCAGTCCTTGAGCAGGGTTTGTCCAGCATGGGGACAACTTGCAGAGGTGGAGGGGGGAGGAGTTGTGCTCTGTGACCAGGGAAGAGAAAAGAGACACTGTGTTCCTCCCTCTCAGGAGCCACAGAACCATTAAGGCTGGAAAAGACCTCCAAGACCATCAGATCTGATCTTTGACTGAATGCCCCGTGCCCACCAAACCATATCCCAAAGTCTTGTTCTTTACCCAGACACCATTTCCCCCAGAGTTGAAGTGACTCAGCTTTCTGCTGTATTTGGACATGAAGTTGGGGCATAAATATCTCCCAGCAGGATAAAATCTGACCAGATCTACCTAAAGACTCCCTGTCAGGAGCCTGTGGATCCCTCAGGAGTGGTTTAGGATTCACCTTGCCTTGACCTGACTGTGCAGGTGCTCCTGAAAACTTGAGAACTTTCACCCAATCTGTGTTTTTCCAGCCCTTTTTCCTCCTGTCCCCTCCTCCTCCCAGCTCTGCCCTGGCTGTGTCGGACTCAGGCACTCACTCCCAGCAGGGATTTTGCATCTTCATTGTAAAGCATCCCCCAAAGTCACAGCTCCACGTACAGATTGGCTGCAACAAAACCAGTTGGAGTCCTCATTTAGGTTTTAATTAAGGCAAAAGTATCATTAACTTTAGCAGAAACTACTTGATCAAATGCTGCATGTAAATGAAGAGGAGCTGAAGGAAGATTTGGCCAGCAATTATAAAATCCTACGTGTGAGCACCATGCCAGGATGCCTTGGATGATATTTCTTTTTTGGGAAATATTCTAAAAGTCACCTCCTGTAGCTGTTCACACTCCTTGGTGACAAGGACAGCTCTGCAAAAGGCCCCTGGGGTGCAGGTTGGGCTCTTTGCCAGTTGCTACACACTTTGCAAAGGTGTCTTCTTCCTAAAGCAAGGAAACCTGCACCAGGGATGGGATGTTTTTCCATGCCTGGGAAGGCCTGATAAGGAACCAGGGCTCCCCCAGCTCTCAGGGCACATGCAGGAAAATGTCTGCTGGTATCTGCAGACACAGATGATGGAAATGTCTGCCCTGGGCATTGTTCAGCTCTGAATGGAGCTGGAAAAACACTTCAGAACATGGTGAACGTGAACATTCCCAATCTGAGGATGTGTGTGGAGGTTCTGGCTCTCTGGAAGAAGTGACCCCTTCCCAGAGGAGGACGAAAGCCCAGAACAGTATTTATCATGGAGGTGTCTGGAGCAGCTGGAGCTGCAGTGCAGCCTGTGCAGGAGGTGAACACAAGAGAAATTCCACGTCCCAGAGAAGCCCAGGGCTCATCTCTCAGGGCAGTGGCTCCCTCAGCATCTCATTTCCATGGGCCTGACCAGCAGCAAGATCCCACTTGTTCCAAGAGAACTCAGAGAATCCTGGAATGGTTTGGTTTGGAAGGGACCTTAAAGCCCATCCAGTCCCATCCCCTGCCATGGGCAGGGACACCTTCCACCAGCCCAGGTTACTCCAACCTGGCCTTGGACACTTCCAGGGATCCAGGGGCAGCCACAGCTTCTCTGGGTAAGCTGTGCCAGGGCCTGCCCACCCTCCCAGGGAAGGATTTCTAATTTTATCCTCCTCCTCCTCTTGAGGTTCACCTGCTGTGTCTTACTGATGCCCAGCCCTGTGTCAGGTGGGGCCTTTCCATTCAATGCAAGACCCCAGCTTAGATCCCTCCCTCTTATTAAAGGAATGATGCTGTGCCCAGGCCATCTGAATCCTTATTTTAAAACATCACTGTGCTCCTTCCTTGCTGTCTGTGCCTCCTCCAGAGGAATCTGAAAGAACCAGGGTGGGGTCCTCATCTAGGGCACCATCAGCCCTCGTCTCCAAGGGGATGGAATTCCCAACTGGTTTTGGATTTGCAGGTCTCAAGTGCCAGTAAATGAGTACCCCGAGTCTCTTGGCCACACTCGGGGCCAGGGCTGTTCTGGTGGTTTGGACCAGGACAACCTTCCCCAGTGAGGTGAAGGGTGGGACAGGACAAGGGGCAGTGAGGTCAAACAAAGGAGAGTAGGTCAAAATACATGGGAAGAGAAAGATTAGAGATGAGATGAGATTGGATGAGATGAAATTAGATAAGATTTTAGATTAGAATTAGAAAAGGAGGGAGTTCTTCCCTGGGAGGGTGGGCAGGCCCTGGCACAGGTTGCCCAGAGAAGCTGTGGCTGCCCCTGGATCCCTGGAAGTGTCCAAGGCCAGGTTGGAGCAACCTGGGCTGGTGAAAGGTGTCCCTGCCCATGGCAGGGATGGAATTAGATGATCTTCAAGGTCCCTTCCAACCCAAACCATTCCTTGACTCTATGACGTAGAGCCACTTGGACACATCCTGAAAGGAGCACACAAAGCTTTTGAAGGCACAGGGGGAGGCTCAGAGCTTTGTCTTCAGAGTCCTTGTCTCCCTGAAGGCTTCTGTGCTTGTTGTCACTCTCAGAAACAGCAAATACTCTCCAAAACACCCTCCCAAGGATTTGCTACACCTGGAGTGGGAACACAGAGAAGAGGTGAAGGGCACAGGAGAGGGGGAGAGGGAGAGAGCCACGTGCCTGTGGCTGAGCAAATGTTCTTCTCTTCATCCAAACACAGGGAGTCCACTCCTGCCAGTTTGGAGCCTACCAGGATGCCTTTGGCAAAGGAGCCAGAGGTGCTGCCAGGAAAACCTCCTGGCCTCCCTGCAGTGCCAAACTGAAACGTTTTCAAGGTAAAGAAGAAAAAAAAAAAAAACCAAACCCTCTGTTTCAGATAGTTTGATTTCTTTTCATACTTCTGGGATTGAGATAAGAGACAATAACAGGAAAATATCCAGCTCAGGGCGCTGGATAAAGAAATTCCCTGACAGATTTCCAACAAAACAAAACAAAACAAAATCATTCATTCAAAATAAGTGGTGGAAAATTCCTCCTCCTGGCCAGCTCTGCTTTGGGAATTGTTCCCCCCCTCCTCCCCTGCAGTAACACAGAACTGAGAAACCCCAGAGCTTGCCCAGCTCCTGTTCCCCTCTGTGAAAATGTGCTGGAGTGGCAGGTGAGGCAGCTGTGGAAAATGGGAGGAAAACACACCTGGAGCTGCCTTTGCCTGGGCTGTCCCTCAGTGCAGCCCTGGAAGAGCCTTCAGTATTCATCAGAGGCACCCAGTTTCCTCTGGGAGTGTTGGACCAGTGAGCTGAAGGGCACAAGAGCACATCAGATCATATGGAATCACAGAACATCCTGAGCTGGGAGGAAACCACCAGGACCCCACTTGGTCTCTGGTCACATCTGCAGATGCATTTTACAGGGAAAGACTTAAAGCTCTTTGCTTAAAACAGTTTTTTAATAGAGTTTGGACAGGGTTTTTTTGTCAAAATTCAATATTTCACCCCCTAAAAATCATAACCTTTTTTTTTTCCTGTCAGCTACACAAACAAATGAGTTATCAAACAATTAAAAGATTTTTTTTTCTTTTTTTTGGTTTTTCATTCATATATTTGCCTCAGTAATTTGTGGGGTTTATTATTCCCTCTTTTTAGCTTGATTTCCTTCAGTTGATTCACTTTGCTAAGCCAACTGGTGGGACTGTAAGACAGAAAAATTCCTGATGAGAATGAGGAAAATGTAACACACTCAAAATTCTGGAGTGAAAAGAAGAAGGTTGATCAGTGACCCCCAGAGAAATGTTTGGCATAGGAACTTATTTAAATGTCACTGAACAAATCTTTATGTTTGTTATGTCACTGAATAAATTTCGTTCTGAGGAGATTCTGCTGCGTTGACACTGAGCTTTGAGTGCCATGTGGGCACTGTGGAGAAGTTTGGCACAGCATCATTTACAGCTTTGGTACTTCAGGGGACAGTGGAAATAACTCCTCCTCTGTGACTCAGGGAACCAGTCCAGGATGCCCTGACACAGATGAGGCCCTGCCTTTCTGTGGAAGAGGTGTTGTCACATCAGCTGGCCTGGGGACAGCTGAGCTCGCACAATCCTCTTCTGAAGTTCACCTGTAAAAGGATGGCAACTGCTCCGTGTGGTTCCAGATCAGTCTGACTCAGGAAAATGTTCCTCATGACACATTTGGTGCCTTTCTGAATCAACACCCAGATATCTAAGGGGCTGCTGGGATTTATTTGTAGTAAATAATTGCTATGGCTTCCCTTTCTTATTAAAAAAAAAAAAAAAAATCCTTAAGTGTCCATAGCTCAGGCTGTTAAATTTGGATTCTGTGTTTCTGTGTACTGCATTGTGTTTATTATTGTCAGAGCACAGCTCAGCTCATTCCTGTGCTCCTTGATTTCTTGTCACACCAACTGAACCTGTGCAGGACCATTCACCTATTTACCAGCATTGCCCAGAGAAGCTGTGGCTGCCCCTGGATCCCTGGAAGTGTCCAAGGCCAGGTTGGAGGGGGCTTGGAGCAGCCTGGAATAGTGGGAGGTGTCCCTGCCCATGGCAGGGGGTGGTTTTTAAGGATGGTTTTTAAGGTCCCTTCCCACCCAAACCATTCTGGGATGCTGAGGTTCTAGAAAAGCAATGGTTGGAGACACTTACAAGGGTCTCTGCTGAAGATTCCAACAAGCAGGCAGGAAGGGCTCCACTGACAGTGCTCAGACACTGGCCCAGCTGCCCAGGGCAGTGGTGGAGTCCCCACCCCTGGGAGTGTTCACAAAACAAGAGGATTTGGCCCTTAGTGCTGTGCTTTGGTCACCTGGGGGGATTCAGTCGATGGCTGGACTTGCTCTTGGAGGGCTTTTCCAACCCTAATGATCCTGGGATTCTCCTGGACCCAAGGAGCCGGTGCAGGTGGGGTGTGAAGTCCTTTCAGAGCTGATAAAATGCAGCACAGGGACTGCCAGCAGGGACTCTGCAGGAGCTGGGGCACTGTCTGTGTGTTCAGCTGCCCTGCTGGAGGTGCAGGCAGGGCCCTCCCCTGGGAGGAGGGGAAGGTGAATGCTGAGCTGATTCCCTCGAAGGCTCCCATCAACAGGCCTCTTCAGGAAATCCTTGGTTCTTGAAGCTGCAGTTGACAGAAATGTGATTTTCACTCAGGCAGCCTCAGAAGGCAGACTGGAAGTGGCTTGGATTTGGCCTGAAGTCAGGGAAGATGACACAGCTGATACTCTTCTGAAGTGCACTGAACATTAACTCTCAATTCCTCTTACTCACACCTCAGGTATCCCTTTATCTCCGGGAGCACATCCAGGGACCTGCTCTTTAATTACACAGCCAATGTCATGCAAACACCGTCCCTGCAGGATCCAGGGCAGGTTGTCACAGGTTACCTGGTAATTATCTTCCAAATTACTGAGTAATTCCGAGCTGAATTACCCTGTAATTTGCTCCTGTCGATAGCATGACCAGCTCTGGGCTGGAAGACACAGCCTGTTCTTGTCTCCCACATGGAGCCAGGCCCCTCTGAGTGAACACACATCTGAGGAGAGCACAGCTGACAAACTCAGCCTTACCCAGGACCAGGAGGCTCATTCCTGCCTGGGAGTTCCAGCTCGTGACTTTGCTGTGGGTTCCTGGCAGTGATAATAATAGTCTAATGATGATAATAATAATTATTAATAATAATAATAATGATAATGTGGTAGCAATGACTCATGGCCTGCAGGAGCCTTACTAAGGGCTCACTTCTTCTAAAGAAATCCTCTGGCTCTTTCCAAACCTCCCATCAGGCATTTTCCTCAGGGGGGAGTGGGATTTAGCTGGACCCCAGGAACAGGAATGGAAATGTTATTTCTGTATGGGAAAGTGCTTTGGTGTCCTTGGGGTCACACATTCATTAGGACTTTCCAGCCCAGGCAAAACCAACCTTATCTACTCCAGCCCCACAGAGGTATCACAGACACACCCCAGCTCTGCCCCCTCTCCATGCAGGATGTCCCTCCTGACCCAGACCTTGGCCTGTCACTTCAAAATGCAATTTTAACCTCCCCTGTGCAAACACAACAAGGGATTTGGTTCATTTCACAGGAGAGAGGGGAAGATTGAGCTCAGCCTGATGACAGCATGACCATGCCTCGAGCTCCTGGGGAAGGTTTGGTTTGGTTTGGTCCAGAGGGACATCCCCAGCCTGCAAAGGGGCTGACAGGGAGTGGCAGGGGGGGAAGGGCCTCCTGTGCTGCTCCAGGATGCTCCTGATGTCCATGCAGATCACAAGCCAGGCTGTTCCCATGTTCCTACATCCCCCTGGAGCTTCTGAACCCCTTCACAACCACACAGAGGCTGCTTTGCCACTTCACATGAAAGCAGAGAGGTGTTCTCCCAGAACATCCCCAAGTGCAGTGTATCCCATCAGTGCCATCCTTCTCCACAGCTCCCTGTCCTGGAGAAACTCAGGTGAGGAGGAGACATTTGCTTCAGGAGGTTTGCAGTGCAGGGCTCAGCTCTGTGCAGATGAACAGGAATGTTTGACTCAGGCTGTTGACCAAATCCTGCACTATGAGAGGCTGGGGCACCACAGGAACTGGCAGAGGAGGGGTGCCCACCCAAACAGAGCAATTCTTGTCCTGGTGGGACCAAACTGCTGCCACTGCTGTCACTGCTGTGCAGGCAGCCCCTGTCAGCAAGCTCAGAAATCATTAGATAAATATCTGTACAGATATACATTGGATCTATTCCTGGGCAGCCAGGCCAGAAACACAGATTTAAAGGGACAAGGCTGGATGTCTGTCAGGTATTTCTCGCCCAGCAGTTGCAGCAGGACAAGGGAAGGGCCAGCACAGGGCAGCTCTGCCCATGTGCTCTCCTGAAATAGCAGCTGCACAGACACAGCCCTGGGCGAGAGGGGCCACAGTCTGAGCCACTGCTCCTCTTAGCATTTGAAGCATATAAATATAAACATAACTGGTTCTACTGAGGCAAACCATGGAATTGTTTGCAAAGTCAAGATTCAAGTGAAGTTCATGAGGTCACTTTGCCTCCCGACTCCCTTTGGCCCCGCTCCTGTGAGGGTGGGAGGGAAGGGAGATGGGAGCAGGTGGACAAGCAGCACCCTAAATGGAAACAGAGCTCAGCAAAGCAAGGACTCTTCTGCAGGACAGTTTGGGTGCCTGGCAGAGCCAAGAAGCAAAACTTGAGGCCCCTCAGGATTTGGGGGCAGGTAAAGGAATCAGGATTTTTTTCCTTCCCTTTGCCACATAATAATTTACATCCATGATGGGTCTTCCTCCTCCAGTTTGTGGTCATCCAGCACCTCTGACCTCCTGGCCAAGAGCTTTAGGAATTCTAAATACACTGCACTGCCTCCAGCCCTCTACCCTGCAGTGTGGGAGAGCTTTAGGAACTCAGACAGGTTAAATCAGCAGCATCTGCCTGGACATGAGTTCATTTTCCCTCTGCTGGGGGTTGCTTTAAATCAGCCGTTGCCTGAGTTGTTTCTGGTGATCCTAAACTAAGGTTAACACATCTCTCACTCCTGGGGCTGTTCACAGCACCTTTCCAAGGAGCTGCTCCTGGCTGACTGGTGTGGCCCTGGGGGCAGCACAGCACTGATTTCATTGCTCCTGTCTGTGCAGCAGCAGCTTTAGAAAGCAGCAGTCACTTCAGGGGAAGTATTTCTTCATCAGCCTGTGGTAAAGGCACACACAGAAATGTTTAGCATCTTTGAAATGCATTTTTTAAGACCGGACTCCCTTGTCTGGCAGCAGGAATTGAGGCAGTGAAGGAAGTTTTTTACCTGTAGTAGGGGCTTGATAAGATCTTCAGGCCCTTTGGTATCAAAACCCCCCTGTCTGAGCACTGCAAATGCCACCTCCACTTTCTGACCCCTCCAGTGGTCCCTTGGGTTTGAGGAGCAGTGTTTGCATCTCCACTGAGCAGCTTCCCTCCTGATTAACCTCCCTCCCTTCGTGAAATCATCTACAGAAGTGCTTTTAAACTTCCCAACGTTCCCATGACTTGTCTGTGTCTCCTTGCTCATCTCCTTCTCCCTGCCCATTCCTCACCTCAATCCTCACAGCCTTTTTTTCTTGGCTTTAGACTTTCCCCTTCTTTCACTGCTGAGAGATCCTTTCCTCCCTCCCTTCCTTCCTTTCTTCCATCCTCCTTCCTTCTTCCCTCCCTCCCTCCTTTTCTTCCTTTCTTCCTTCCTTCCTCCTTTGCTCCCTCCCTCCTTCCCTCTCTTCCTTGAAAGGTTGAAAATGGAACAATTCCGTTCCCATTGCCATTATTTTTTTGGGGGAAGCCCCTCCCTTCTCCAAACGAGCCCTGTGCCTCCACTCCACCTCTTCAAGGAGCAGAAGGGATGTTTCAACCAACACAAATTTCCCCTGGTTTGCCTTCTGTGCTCTCTGGGAGTGTAAATCCCCCCCTGAGCTCTCCCTGACTGGTGCCAGGTTGAAATTCTGGGCTGTGGCAGGTGGAGAGCAGAGCTGAGGGTGGGGCTGTGTCACCCCTGCCATGGGCAGAGTGTTGACAGTCACCTCCTGTGTGCCCTGAGCTTTTCTCTGCCTCAAATGAGCTTTATCTTGGGCAGCAAAATGTCTGAGGACAGTTCTGAAGGTGTTGCTGTCCAGAAATAGATGGTTGGTCAGTAGAGAGCCCCCCAGAGAAGCAGGAATATTCAATCAGG